GTCATGGAGTTTTGGGCCACAAGTATATATAATATATTTGTGACCCAATCCTTAAATATACAAGTATATTTAAGGATTAACAAGTCTAGATTATAGTAATAAGTATTAAAACTTTATCATAAAAAAAAATTACTTCTACAGACACTTTCAATTTTTACTTAGAAAGAAATAAATTCATTTATTATAAAGGAGACAAACAAAAATTTATTTGAAAAACACAAATATTTGTTTTATTTGGGCCTCTAATTAATAAAAAAAATGACACAACACCATTTTAAAGTGCATTTTTATTCGACTAATATATTTATAAATAATATGTAGCCCAGAAAGTAGCCAATGCACCAAATGATAATTTTTATGCCAAACTAAAAAAAGGGTAGCCAAATTTGGCGCAAAGTACCCAAATATTGCAACACTGGAAGGAATACTAAATAATGTTGGAGTTGGAACTCAAAGGATTATAGACCCAAATTTGAGAAAAGGAGAGAAAGGCCAAAAGATAAAAAGTAATAAGAAAGGTTGGAAAGTTAAGGGTCAATATTTGCATAACAGAAGGTCTATTTAACCTTTCTCACTACTTTTTATCTTTTGGCCCTTTCTCTCCTTTTCTCAAATTTGGGTCTATAATCCTTTGCATCACAACTTCAGCTTTATTTAGTATTCCTTCATCATCCACACATCTCCAAGTATTTGAAAATATTTCCTTTTCATTCAAAAATAAAATATATATAAAAGTTTATGGCTTTGTAAAACTTCTTTTTTGAGTTTATGCCGTTGAAATAAAAAAATAAAACAATTTGTCAGTTTTGTTTACACGTTTATTGGGCTGCATTGGAACTTGCCTTGGGCCGTGGGTTGGACACCCCTGATCTAAACTGATTTTATAAACTTTTTAAAGACTTTTTAATAATTTATTTATGTTGAAATATGTTAAATTCAAATATATTAAATTGTATATTATTGGAATTTTGTCTACTGTATGTAGAAAATGTCAAAACACTATATTTTTAATTATATGAAATGCAAGATTATTTTATTTTATTCTCTTTGAACAGTAAATGGTTTTATCTGATACTACATCAATTATATATAAAAAATGATGATATTTTAATATATTTTTAAGAAAATATTTAACAGTAATAATGCAAAGCAATTTTAAAATTTAATTCTAATATTAAATTGACTCCAAAACAAGGATTCTGTTTTTTTTTTAAATTTATTAGAGAGTATTAGTTGTGTTCATTCTAAAACTAACATGGCAGTTTGAATATATAAAATGTAATAAATTTAAAATTTGTAACTTTCCAATATTTGAATAAGATTGTATAATTGGATTTATATTAGTAAAGGTTTAATATTCAGTTCAATTTTTATTTTAATTTGTTTTACTGTACAAGTATTTTTTTTATTACTTAAATTAATCTCTTTAATTTAATTTAAACATAATTTGTAATAAAATATCTTATTTAATTAACTTTATTTAACATTAAGAAATTGCAATTATAAAATTTCCAATAAATAATAATTTTTTTGTTTTTATTTTTGGAAATTGAATTTTATCTGAATTATTGCTTATAAAAATTTACTTTTCTAATTGCATAAGATTTGTTATTTTCACTTTTACTAGAAACATCCGAGATATATATTATTTATTTCAATTAACATTTTTTTTTTTTTAGACAAGACAGTTTTCAAATAATTGTTTAATTTAATTCAAAGATTTATATTTCTTACTGTTAGGGATTAGTAAGACAATATAATATAATTTAAAATGAATAACTAGATTTAATCTCACTTGATAAATTATATAATTTTTTGTTTTATTAATCAATGACTATTCAAGGATATTTTTGGAGTTTCTTTCAAATACATTTAATTCATGAGTACATCATTACTTTTATAATATGAAAGCAGTATCATTTTAAATTCTTTTTTGAGATATTTTTAAAGAAATTTATATTGAGATAAGTTTTATCCTCAGAAGTAATAAAATTAAAAATGAAGATAACTAGTTTTAAAAAGTTTTCTGTAAATATGTCAATTTTATTTAAGTTTTGTAAAAATCAAATTTAATGAAGAAACTTTTGTGAATGTTGAAAGTTTTGTCATGTTGAATTCATGTTAAAGTTTCTGTTCTGTGTTAACAAACAATTATCACAGTTTTTTCTTTTATAAAAAATAGATTAGGATTCCATCTGTATAAGCTTTTTCTTTTGAAAACTCTTATACAGATGGAATCCTGATCTAATACATTCTGAAATAATGAAATTTTCAGAGTGCATTGCACTCTCTAACCTTATTTATAAACTTCTATAGTTTATTTCAATATTTGTTTTGTTGTAATACATAAATAAACTGTAATTAGATAATATTAAAATTTTAACAATGGTATATCTTTGCTAATTTTATTCTTCAGAAAAGTTTTTGCAACTAAACATTATTTAGAATTGGAGATTTCAAGACTTAATATGATCTTTTATATACAGTACAATGAATTTTTCTTTCTGAAAAATGTCTATTATATATCAATAAAAAAGAATATGTTTACAACTATTTTGATTTCTTTTCTACTTAAATGATTTTTACTTTTACTTGATTTTTTAAAAATTTTTTCTTAACTATTTTGATATATTGTTTTTTAATAATATTTGTCATGAATAGTTAGATTTTTCTTCTTAATTTTTAATTTGCAGAAATGAGTAATCATTTTCATTACATTATTTTTAATTTAGTTATTAGCATTTAGTTATTTAATTATTTTTATCCTAACCATAGTAGAAATATTTTTGTCTTTCCACTACTAAAAATATTGCTAATTTATTAACTTAATAAGAAATAAATAAAGCTATAGATGTGGCATAAATAAATAAAAATGCTACTAACACTAGTATAATTGTTTTAGTATAGATTTAACAATTCTATATTTGTTTTTGAACTGATATGATGAGATCAAATCGATCTAAAAAATTTCTAACAATATTTATGGGTTCATAAGAAAAGCATTTATGTTTTTTAAATGCTAACAAAATATATTATTTTTACTCACTTTAATCTGTTGCTATTTGAAAATTTTTCTTACTATATTTATAGAAATGCTGAGAAAATATATTTTATAATTAATTTACAGTTTATTTTTTATAAACTGTAAATGAATTATAAAATAATACCAGGAAAATTATGCAATACATTGCTAAAATTTTTATTTCAGTAATGTGTTGCATAACTTTCCTGGCAAAACAGTTAAAATTATATGTGGCAGCACTTGCTATGAGATTTTATTTAAAAAACTTTTATATTATTACTACAAAATTGTAAAAACTTAATGATGGAAATAGAGATGAGTTTTTTATTAAAAAAATTATAAATACTAATAACAAGTAAAATCTTCATTAAGTTCAACCCCACTTAAGATTCAACACCTGCCTCCCCTCTATCTTCCCACCCCCTTGACCTTTAATCACCAAAATTCAATAACATCAATGCCTCTAATACACAAACCTTTGCAAAATTTCAAAAAATTTTTAACAAAAAGTACAGTGGTTATTAAGTAAGCTTCAAAGTGTGTAGACAAAATTGTGCCCCTGCACTAACACAAACATCCATACATTCAGGAAAAAAACTCAACCTTTTTTTGTTTTAAGACTCCAAGTCAAAAAATTAAAAATCTTGGAGGGTAATTTTTTTGACTGATTGCAATACTTTCCATCTGTTATGTAACAGCTGGAAAAGTAAAATTACATGTCCCTTATTATGACTATAATTTACAGGATATTAAACAAAAATTTTTTTATAATACTAAATATGTTTTATATATACAAGATATTAAATATTTCTATTTTAATTAAAATTGAAACATTTGTTTTTTACAAACATTTTAATTTTAAAATACATTATTATAGTTAGTTGTATTTATTTAAGATTTAAAAAAATACTTGTATAAGAATGATAATTATGAATACAGTAGAGCGTCGTTTATCCGAACCAATTGGGGACTGGGGTGGTTCGGATCAAGGTCTTAGATTATCAGGTTGCCTCATAGAGAAGAAACGCTTCTCATTGGTTGCTTATTTGACGTCACTCGTAGTCGAAAACGAAACATCTTACTATGTCCTTATGGTAGAAACGTTACCGATCAGAGGCTCGAAGCTTTAATTACACGCTAATATTTTATTAATTACGATACTTACTTAATTAAATAAAAATAAAAATTGATTATAAATAAGAAAAATCCGGAATATTGAGCAAATCTTCGTAATTTTTACGTGTAAAGTTGAAGTTAAAATGAGTTTTTCTACTTTGTAAATGAAATCTATTTTATGATTTTATAACAACAATAGCTTCTTAAAAAGATTAATTTTGGTAAATCCTACGTAGGTGATTTATATATAAGTAAATTAATTTAATTTCTATCGTCAAACTACTATATTTTTTTT